CGGCGCCGCCGCGGCCGACGTAGCCGACGCGCTTCTGCTCCATCTGGCTCTGCAGCTTGAACTCCTCGTCGAAGGACATGACAGGCCGGCTCGCCGACACGTGGGCGTTGCCGGCGCCGCCGCGGCCCGAGTAGAAGCTGGCCGTCGCGGGCGGCAGCACCTTGGACTCGGTCGCGACGCCGCTCGCCGGCGTGGTCTCGGGCGCGCGGAAGTAGTTGCCGGCGCCGCCCCGGCCCGAGTGCATGTAGGTGTTCTGGCCTACCGTAGGGTGAGGCTCTGCAATGGTGAAGCGAGGCATCGTGACTGGTAGTGGTGTAGTGGTGTAGGTGTGTGGTAATTGAGGTAGTAGTACGATTAGACAAGGATTCGGCTGTCTATATCTATACTCGATGGCGAATGAGTCTTGGTCGCTATGCTCTTCCTTGGTATACTGTAGGAAGTATTGAAGATTTAGACGACGTAGTCTGCGATGATTTAGGACAGTTTATGGTCTTTCAGGACGTTTTCTTGGGTGGTGTGCGTCTTATTACTTGATAGTACGAAGCGGGACAAACCTTCTCTGCCCCAGGATGGAGGGAGGGGCTTTAATATTTATCATCGTGAACCGTGAGGGTCAGGGGTGGATTTCTCTTTGTCAAAATTACAAACATAAACTCTTGTCCTCCTCCAACAAGGTTCCAGCACCAGGGACACGCGTGCTGCAAAGCCAAAGCCGGGCCACTTGGCCGGGGAGACCATCGTGTCACAAGACGCAACTTTTGCTTAGTACGCCCATGGCAGACGAGCAGGCGCCCAGGCAGGAGAAATTTGCAACGTGGTAAAATTTTTCCATGACACCTGAGACCGCGATGAGCCGAAGATCAGGGTCTCCGCCTCGAATCGGGGCGAACGATGTGGTTCGACGGGGTGGGTGGGAAACGGCGAATGACACCATCCACTATTGCCGTCACTTGTCCGGCTGGCTGGCTGGTTGGCTGGAGAGAAATTTACTATGTAAAAAAAAAAATACTTGAAAAAAATATTGAAATAACGGTAGGGCTTGGTCTTCGACGGCGAGGGCGCTTAGCAGTTAACGGCAAGTGAAGTGGAATCCGGGGTACACGCGTGATGCAGACGCTAACGGGCAATTAGCAAACAAAGAGTTGCTGTTACGAAATCGTGCCTTGGAAAACCTGATCATGGGACCAGGCGGGAGGTTTTCGATGAGTAACTATTACCCCATAGTTTGCCCCTGACCAGGCCGGACTACCCTGGTTAGCAACAGGATCCTCCCTGCGCTACCGCCGAGCCAAGGCCAAGCCCGCCGCCTGGAAACCACCGAGGAATGGAAGAATGGACGCGTGCCACGGGCGCCGGCGGCCAATGAAGGCCGCCCTGCTGAGCGGTTCTGGCTGTGTCGTCCTGGCGCTGTCCCGGATGATGCAAGAATCCCTGAGATGGATGCAACAACCGCCTGTCAGGCACGACAAGGGCGCATCTTGCATGCTTCCCGACATGCGCCAATCATTGCTGGTAGGGCCGTCGGTATTGCCATTGGCATCGACTACCAAGGTGTCACGCCTTCGACATGGTTTTCTATCTATCACACCATTCCTCGCCCTGCGTGCGAAGGTGACGACAAGGGCTGCGAATTTGACGAAATCGGGGCAGTCATGGCGAAATGCTGAGACGCCCAGTAGGTAATCAATATTCGTCAGAATAGCCGCTGACGACAACCAAGTACCTACGCGAAAGCCGAGCCCAGCCGATTTCGCCGCGGCGTGCAATCCGAATGGCGAATTTCTCGCGGTGTGACAGACGTACGTGGCGCAGAATACACGTTGGGAATCCCCGATGGATTCAGAAGTACCCGATGGATGGGAGGAGCCGGTGAGGGCTGCGTGCGTTGACGGATGCAAGGGCGGCTTCTCCGATTCAACGCGCGGTGTCAGTGTCTCATGGTGACCCGAAGATTCTACGAGTGGTAGGCACAAGACTGCGCCCGTCGCCAGCGTGAAAGACGCTGTGGCTTGGTGGCTTGGTGGCTTGGATCTCCCTCATTCCCTTGCCTACCGATATCGCTCGGTTTGGGGATATTACGTCAGTCCGCTCCATGGATGCCTGCTACTCTCGGTCTCTGCGTACGTTATCTAGCATTGAAGGATATACTATGTAGTAGTAAGACAACTCGCCATAAATAGACCTTATCACATGATAAATCTGACCATAGTCATAATTGCAAAAAGAACATCATTTGGGCATGCCATCTGTGTCCTGGTCGAAATTATGGCATTCTAACCACTTGATTCAGCACACCCATTGAACACGCGCATAGCGAGGCTATGTATTGCGCCCGACCGCATTAGATTCTGTGTTATGAAGATCAATCGAAGCATCTTCAAGATAAGCGAGAAATAACAGCATTATGCATATTGGGAAAAAATACCTCAAGTAGGTGCTCTTCGAAACACATCGGCCGTGCTATTCCCAGGCAAACGCGGGGATAAGTAATACAGGAGCACTTCAAGGCTGCGCTCAGCTGTCTCATGTGAAGAAACGAATGCGCGTGGTAAGGGCACGGCAGCCGGAGAGCGGACCGCATACACCCGATGAAACTGCACACAATATTGATCGGCATATCGTACATTGATATGTTATCCCATCTTTCTTATTTCTCTTACCTATTCGAAACTTGTTGTGGCCTCGGTGCCCGAATCAAATCATGAGCCGGCCGCTCGGGGTGCTCAATCGAGTGAGTGCGGTGTGTCGTAGCTAATGAGTCGCATCGCTCGCTTTTCGACACGAATTGATAGCGCTCTCGTTGCCCCCCTCTAGGCCACGGGGTATTATTCGAGCCTGCCCTGAGTTCCGTGCCGAGGATAGGCAACAGGGGAACCTGAGGTTAAATCGATCAGCTGATGAGATCAGTTCGTTTCCTACAACACACAACCCAAAAGCTACAGGGCTGACATTTACTTTAGAACGTATACGGAACCTTTGTAGTATCTAGCGTGACAAGACAACAAACCCTCCCTCGACCGGGGGGAGGACCAGGTTTGCGGCTAAGGTTATGGTAAGCAAGCCTTTACGTGATCTTGTTGATATTCTCGCGCATGGAATGTCTGGTTTCGCAAGTACCGAGTCCTATCATGAGGGTTACTCTTACCATCAGCTCAATGTCACGGCACGGCGCTTCTCGACATGGTCATGGGTATCATCGGGGTCTGGTCGCGCTCACCAGCCTGTCGACACTTGGCTGATCCTCGTCCTAACACCTCCTAGTACGCTTGATACTAGAATGACAGTTGCGAATACATTAGATAACGTTTATGTCTTGAGTCCGTTGGCATAACCTTTCCCCAAGAGGCAATCAACTATCTACATGAAAGAGAGCTAATACTTCGGGGAGTCAGTATCAAGACCGTCTTCTGGTAACTGTTAAGCACTCCCTTCATCCGTTAAGCAGCCTATAACCCCAACATCCTGATCGAAATCGCCAAGATGAAGTTGGGGGTTTGTGCGTTTTAGTCTTGTAGTAACAATAACAAGGCCCCAAGTGAGGGCGTGGGAGGTAAATGTTTATTCAACTGCATCAGTCTATTATGGTTCTGATTCTGTGAATAGTTTCACCCCCCTCGCTAGGCACTTTCTTTCTAGGCTCCATGTCTAAGACATTCGCTTCTGGGTCTGAGACCTTCGCTCAAGCATATTCAACTACCTGTGATGTTGCACGCTAACTTCTTCAGCTTGTGTACGTGTAACAGTCACCTAACATAGAAGGTCTGCCCCTTCATTGTACACATCATCTCAGTCGCCTGATCTGATGAATAGCATCAAACGCTGAAGGACCTCGCTGTCTACCGGAAGATGTCAATAATCTTTCCGTTCGCCTTGTGCTTCACAAGACTAGGGACTCCGACTATATCGAGCGAAGAGTCTAACATGGCTCGTAGGTTCCTTTCCCGAACGCTTAATACAATAGGCCATGATACTAGACAGTCCTACGACGTGTGAGAGAATATGAACCTAAGCCGATCTTGCCATCAGGACAACCACTTTTTCGGCAGGGACACTTGCTTTGCACTTCCTATACTGCAGCACCAGCGCATTATGTCATGACGGGTCCCATAGCTCAGTTGGTTAGAGCGTCGTACTAATATTATGATTCCATCATAACATTGGTAAATGCGAAGGCCGTGAGTTCAAGCCTCACTGGGACCAGCTCATTTATTTTTCTCTTTTTCTCTCTCTCATTTTGACCACGAGCGTGATTTTTATTCCTCTCCACTTACTTGCTTGGTACGGGTACGGGTACGGGGCGGGGAAATATGAGGGCTTGCCTGACTCATCTGCCTAGGCTAGCTTCTGTGACTATAGAAAGTTAGCTAGACATGCTCCGTATGAATCCTTGCGTCGGAACAATATGAGTACAAACACAATTGCAAAATCGCCGAATAATAGAGCTAAGTATTGAAGATCGGTGTAATGAACCCCGGAACTCGGAAGATCATAGAGCTTACTCTCGGAAACCCTTCAAATACTCTACCTGCGTGGAAGCTTGGTCTGTTGGCAAGCGTACTTTTTGCCGATTCCAAACAAGTGACCACATGTTACTTGGTCTAACCAATAACCTCACTGAAATCGGCAAATTTTTCTAGTCAGATGAGAGAGAAGAGACTTGATAGTTCATCTATTTGAGCGCTTCTTACATACTACGGCCCGCGGGATTGCGAGTCGTGCTGGTGGCAGCGGCAAGCCGCGGCAATAAACTCGGGTCAGCCTGTACTGCCTCTCATCGTCGGAACCCCGCCACATACGTAGGGCAATTGAGATACCACAAGTCTGAGAAACGTGCTATATTGCCACATATCCCGTTGATTTAGCGGCATCTTTTCATTCCGTCGCAGTTATGAAGTATTGTCGTGAGATCCGTTCGCCAGTGCCCAAGGATGGGATACACGGTTTCCCCAGTCCTCCGCACCTCTGCTCATCACGCGGTATTTCTCTGTCGACGACCAATCGGTCCCATAGCTCAGTTGGTTAGAGCGTCGTACTAATACTATAAGTTCGCTCATAGCATGAGTCAATGCGAAGGCCGTGAGTTCAAGCCTCACTGGGACCATCACTTTTGCTTTTATTCCTATGAAGCATGTTTTTTTTTCTGTTGCCTGGACTCCATGATCAATGCTGCCAGTGTAGGTCAGGCTTTTCCTCTAGGATGGATGCATGTAAGTCTTCTACACGCTGAGCAAGTCGATTATGGAACACCTTCGTCTCTCCTATGCATGCCTGGTGATCACTTGTCTTGTCCGCTGCGATGGCTATAGAAGTAATCATAGGCTATGATTAACTACATGATTGATAAACTACTGCTTCTAGATGCACACTTGACACGGACCTATAAATAGTGTACATGCGCGCGCAATAAGGATCTCTCACACAAGTCAACAATTGAACTCAAAATTTTTTGAGTCTCAAATTGCTTTGTCGTTCTAGCCCAGAAAGAAACAAATATACAAAAAATTTTGTCTACTTCTCTATCTTAGAATGGGTTTCTCCACGAGATTGGCTTGTAGCGTGTCCACTCGTCTTTGAACTTCTCAATCTTTTCAATGAGGTTCTTCAAGTGGTTGTCGCCTATGGCAGATTGTTTTTTTGCTTGTTGCTTCCGGAATTCGTTGGCAAAAACATCCACCAGTCTGGGCAGATGCTCATCGATGTGTGTGGTGGCCTTTGTCCGCGCGGTAGCACACTTGTCGCTAACGAAAGTATTTCATCGTGTTTCAAGCATTTGAGGTGTCCATTTACCGGAAGGTAATTTTGGTATTTTGCCTTCATCCAGCTCTTTCAGTCTGGCGGCTATTCTCTCTTTCTGTGCTTTGAGCCGACTCGCAATAGTGCTGTCTTGTAAGTATTTCATGGCTGTCATGACGTCTTTGAGATTTTTCACCGCTCGGTCACCTTCGTGCTCATATTGGTCTATTGTCTCCTCGTTCTGGATCGTTGCATCTTTGCTAAACATCTGCTCGCCTATTAGCCATCTTCATCATTCGTATAGATAGGGACAGATCGTAGATAGACTTACTCTCTCTTTTGCTGTGTTGACTCCCTTAACTAAGAGGACAAATTCGCTCAAGTAATTATTACTATTACCTGGAAGCACGGCAAGGACGTGGTTTGGGGGGGGGGGGGGGGGATCTAGCTATGCCGTCTAATGTGAACCAATCTTTTGACGCCACACCTGACAAGCTGTAGCTCCAAAATATGTTCTGTTCTTTCATCTTAACCTAGATAATCGTTTGGTGTAGCTCGAGATGACTCACCCTACACCAAAGTGATGTAGCACATTGTAGCACAACTCAGTGTAGGGTTTCAAGGCCCAACCCATTGCCAAGAACCCAAGGACCCATGGGCCCCCATGGGCCCCCATGGGTTGCCAAGGCCAATTGGGTTGGGTTGGGATGGGTTGGGTTGGGCTGGGTTGAAAACGAGAGATGCGACAAACTGAGGGTACCCCCCCCCTGTTTACCTGAGAGATCCGTGCACGCTGGAGGTATTCGCGGTCCACCCGATACAATATTTAGTTTGTATTACACAATTCGTACATATAATCTCCGTTAAACAATATGTTAGCCTATTCAAGTAGCCTATATAGCTACACAGGAAATAGGGCTAATAGGGTGGTTAGTACAGCTATAGGTATGGCTAGTGCGGGCCCCACGGGTGGCTAATAAGGTGGCTAATAAGGTAGCGAGTAGGGTGGCTAGTAGGGTGGCTAGTAGGGTGGCTAGTAGGGTGGCTAGTAGGGTGGCTAATAAGGTGGCTAGTGGGGTGGCTAGTGCAGCCATAAGTACAGCTGGTGCAGGCCCCACAGCTTATAGCAGCCAACCAAATAAGGGTAATTAAACCTGCCGGTATTAAATCCATTATACTAAGTACATCACAAAAGTAGCATATATATGTATCGAGTGGGCCGCAGATACTTCCAGAATGCACGGATCTCTCAGGTTACCAAGGGGGAGGTACCCTCAGTTTATCTGTATGCTCGTTGAAAACAGTTGGGTTTTAAAAACCTTACAAAAAATTAATTCTAAAAGGAACATTTTTATTTATTTGTAAGGAAATGAAAATTTAAAAAGTAAAAAATTAAAAAATAAAAAATAAAAATTAAAGTAAAATAAAAAAAATAAAGAGACCAATAGTACTAATTATTGTATTAATTTAGCGTATAAATCAATTTAAAGTAACTAAATTACAAATTAATAAGGAAAACCCCGAGTTGTACTAAAGCATTTTATAATTGTAAATAAAGAGTAAAAGGGGTAGAAAAAGTCTTAGGAATACAAAAAAAAGGGATAAAATGACGAATAAGTTTTAAAAAGATAGCTTTTAAGTTAAAACCTAAAAAGAATTAATCAACTTTATTGTTAAACTAAGCATTTGTAAAACTAAGTAATAAAACAAATCCCAAATTAATAATATAGTTATTTAAGTAATAACTAAACTTAATAACTTTTTTTAGTATACTTAAAATAATTGAGACATTATAAATAAAAAAAGGTAAAAAGCTTGGCTATGGAAAACTAATATATTAATGTTTAGTAAAGTAAAACGTACGTTTTTTATTATAGCTATTGAATAATTAGTACAAAAATTAGTACAAAGGGAATAATAGCTTACTACTAGGTAGTACAACTATGTTTTGCTTTACGAGCTTAGATAAAAAAGAATTATTTTTATTTCTAAATATTTTTAAGCTAGGCACGCAAAAGAAAATAATATAAATGTTTCTTTTCAAATATAAGAATTATTTAAAGGGTGAGAAAAAAGGGACTAATGTAAGAAGCAGAATTTTAATTAACAGGAAAATCTGGATTAGAATAAAGAATGTTGGAAATTAAATAAGGAATATAGAATAATTATAAGTATATAACTTGAATTTTATAAAATAAAAATTTAAATATAAAAATAAAAGCTTTTTTTTAAGCTTTATAAATAATAAGATTAGATGTTTAAACTATTAGAAAATATTATAATTTATATACTAATTATATTATTTACTTAAACTATAGTAATGTTTATATAATCTTAATTAAACCGCTTAAAGAAAGCCGGTGAGCGAAAAAAATTATTAATATACGTAACTAAGCGTGCAGCCCAGCTATCAATGGTTTTTTGCTAAAAACAAAGCTAAGGATTATTATTTAAAAAGGGGGGCTATTTAGGTTAAATAATTTATAAAAAAAAATAAGTAAATTGTACTAATCATATATTAAAAAGAAATAAACTTACTTTGTAACATTTATTACGGATTAATTTTTTAGCTTTAATAAAGAAAAATAATGTTCTTTTAAAAGCATAAGTTATAGCTTGCTTTTTAATAAACTTAAAAATATATTCCTAAAGCTTATATTACTTTGCATTTTTTTCTTAAACTTTTTTTATAAAAAAGAATATATATTTTAAATTGTTTTTATTAAAATTAATAATTTCAAGCTTGTTATAAAGTCTAATAACAAATTTATAATTATTATTATTAGAGTTAATATTTAATAACAAATTGATTAAAAGTTTTGCAAACGTAAGCATAATATAGTTGTGCTGCTTTACAACTTGTTTTAAATGTTTGTAATGTTAACAACTAAAATAATTAGTACAAAATTAGTACAAAAATATTGAGAAACATACTATTAATTTAAAACTTGGGCTATAATTTGCTGCTTGGTATTTTTTATTTTTTTAACTAATGTATTAGTATTGCTTTTTGCCTATTCCTTTTGTTTCCGTTTAATTTAACGTTTTAAGGCAGTTATACTGTTTTTATAAGCGTGTTGTCCTGAAAAACGATTAATATTACGGGCGTGGGCTTTTTAAGTATATGGATTGCTAAAAAGTTCTTCTTTTTGCTTCCGGCGTTTAAATACAGGATTACTCTGATTATTGCCCTAATTATTACTAGTTAGGCGTTTTCCAGTTATTTAATGCAAATTAGTATATGATTAGTATAGAAAAAAAGAAAGAGATACTTTGGTTGTATAAGAAAATCTGAAAAAAAAAAAATTAAAAAAACATTAGTATAAAATAAAAACAAATAAAACTAGAAAAATAAGAAAAATCAAGTTAAACTTACCTAAAAATGCGAGTAGGAGTAAGTAGGGCGGGGCACGCGAGGGCTAATACAACTAAGAATTGGTTATAGTATTGTTAAAAAAAGAAAAAAAAAAATGTAAAACTACTTGTAAGGGCAGGTAAGGCTTAAATTTTTTTCTGCCGGTTACGTGACTTACCGCCTTTCTTTTTAGGAAATAAAGAATTTTTTAAAAAATTTTTAAAAAATTTAAAATAAAATATTATTATTTAAAAATAATTTAAAAAAATAAAAAAATATTATTTTTGAATTTCAAACTAAATCATTATTATATAATAAAAATATTAATTTTTTTGCTAATATCTTATAGTAATTGAATATTAAACTGCATAATTATTACTTATTTAGTATAAATAGTACAATAATTTATACTTATAAGTTGTTAAATAAATATGTTTTAAGTGCGAAAGTACTTATAAGCAAATATTTTAACTAAATAAGCTTTGAAAGCTTTTTGCAATGCTTGAATTGCTTTTTTTTAAAAGCGAAAAAATGTTGTTATAGTATTATTTGGAATTTCTTTTGTTAATTGTATAAATAGTTAAAATAGAATTAAATATTGTGTAGTCTTTTATAATTTACGAATATTTTATAGTACTAAAGTTTAATGGGCGTTAATATACTAATTAATATACTAATTATAAATAAAAGCAATAAATTAACTTACTTCCAAGTTTTTAGCAATACTTATAATTCAATAAACTAGTTTTTTTCTTTTTTGTTTTCTTTACTGCTTTTAAAGCAATTAATACTTTGTTTATATTTGAACGTTTTACTGACTTTATTACTTAAATAGTAAAATACAAATTCGAATTATACTGTGTTTAGGTAGGATAAATCGGGGGAAGCTGTAGAGATGCGCTGTTTATACTAGTAATTCTGATTCTTATATTGTAGTCCAAGTCTTAAGAATTATTGTTATTTTAAAAGCTATCTTTGCTTTAGAAATTACTTACTAGTTAAAAAGGCGTATT